CCCATGTGTCCAAAGAAGCAGCCAAAGAAACCTCCTTGAAAAAGAGAAAGAAATGGCTGAGTGAAATGGAGGCAAATGCCAAATGGAGCCCTGCAGAGTTGGAAAAGCACATCCAATCTGGAAGGGTCATTTGGCGAGAGTGTCCCACCACCTGGGGTGTCTATGAATACCAAGACACTGCTGACTATGAAAAAGAGGTGGTGGGCAGGAAGAGATGCTCCTGGCAATTTGGCCAGGAGTATGAGCTTGGGGAGGAGGATGAAGAGGACTGGCAAGAAGCCTTGGACAAGGACTTGCGCAGTCTGATGCTGGGGTGCCTTGAAAAAGGCAAGGGCTCTGGCAAGAGCCTTGAAAAAGGTAAGGGCAAGAGTGGAAAGGGCAAGAGGCATGGCAAGGACCACCAGCCTATGGAGGATGAGCCTGAGGAGAAGCCCTTGACCTTGGCTGAAGCCTTGAAAAAGGCTAAGAAGACCAGGGACTTGCTCAGCTCTACCCACAGCAATTTTGAGGAGGCCTTGAAAAAGGTTGAAAAAGTCCCTATCTGAGCAAGCAGGCCTTCAAGGACAAGCAGGAAGTGCTCACCAACCTCACTGAAGTCTTGAAAAAGACCAAGCAACTCCTTGAAAAAGGGGACAAGAACAAACTTGAAAAAGTGAAGAGCCACCTGGTTGAAGCTTGTGCCTCTATGAAGCATGCAAAGGAAGAGGCAAAAGAGCTTGTTCAGGTTGGGATGAAGGCCTTGAGCAAGGCAGCCTCCTCCAAACCCAAATGATTACCTTGAGAAAGGTACAGTTTTGATGTGTACAAAGCTATAGCCTTGAAGCTATGTAAAGAAGCGCTTGGAGAAAAAAGTTCCCTGCAGCATGCTGGTGTTGGGGTTGGGGTTGAACACTGGGTTGAACCACTTCAGTCAAGCAACTGCAGCCTAGAAAAAGGTCAGTGAACTTGCAAAAGGCCTGTCCAGACTAGCTTGTCTGAAAGGAAAAAGGCGCCTGCTAGCTTTCAGGGTATATTGATTTTATTGATTCCCCTTTTGATTTTTTTGATTTTGCATATTGATTTTGATGGTGGGAAAAGGCTTCCAAAAATATTGATATGGAAATACAAAAAATCAATTCAAAAATATTGATTTTTTTTGTAAATCAATCAGCATTAAAGTTTATTGATTAGGATCAAGATTCGATGCTCAGGGATGGGGCAGTTGCTAAAGGTGCAACAAGCAGACGAGACTGTTCGTTCGCTTGCTTCCCAAGAAGCGGGAGATATGAAGCGCCTAATGGGCGCATTGCGTTTCTTGTGGCGCTCCAGTAGTTTGGCTGCACTCTTTCATCAATCTTGCTTGTTGTTATTTGTTGTTCGTATCACCCAGCCTATAAAGCACATAGGCGCGTAGTATCGTTACATATTGCGTGCTTTTTGAGGCAAGACGGGAAGCCACCCAAGAATCAGCGAGCTGAAACCATACCTACAGGCTTCGGCTTCGCCGCGCAATGAGGCTGGGATAGTTGATATGGCCGCCCAGTCTTTAGTTCCTCAACCTGTTGCGTCTAGAAGCATCTTTTTTGAGCGCCAGCTGATATCGCTTCACGCAGGCCAAAGATGGTGACGCTGGTCATGAGAGTGACGCCGGTGAGAGTGAAGCCGGTGAGTCTCAAGCCTCTGCAGAACATGTGGCTGATGAGGGTGGGGCTGTTGAGCCTGTTGAGCCTGAAGCTTGTGAAGCTCAGGTTGCTGAACGCGCAGCCACTGATGGTGATATGGGTGAAGACGGTGAAGACAGTGACAGCAATGCTTCGGCTTTGCAGCTCCCAGGCTTAGGCGGGAGTGAGCCTGATGCGCCAGCTGACAATGGCGAGACTGCGCCTGATGCGCCAGCTGACAATGTCAAGCTGGCGTTGGTTCAGGACCTTGACGCTGAGGAATCCGAGAGTGACGCTGAGATGCCTCCGCTTGGCTCTGCCGACCCCGGTGTTTTGGACGCGTGTGCCAACACGCCAAAGTCCACTTACAACGAGGAGTTGTTTCAGTCGCCACAAGCTGGCAACAGTAGCTTTTCAGAAGTCATGGAAACGTGCATCGCACTGATGCAATGGCTTGCTAACCACGAACCTTCGATCTTGAAGATGCTCGCCTGATTTGGAAACTAAGTCACTAAGTGGGAACCACTGTGTTCAATCTACAGAATAGACTCTTTCAATGTCCTGGCTGCTCTCAGGAGCTACTATCTCCCGGATTACATGGCCCATTGCGAATGGGCGTACAGCAGATTCGGCTTGCGCGCCAGTTCATGGCTCAGCACCATCGAACACTTCAATGAATGGCTCAAGCGCTACCAGATGCTCAACAGACAGGAGGCTGGTGAGGTTTGCGCAACGATTGGAACGGTGTTCTTACTTGCGTGTGCGGCCAGGCGCTCTCACCCAAATCCAGCCTTCACAAAGATGTGACGGCTGCCACAGCTGATCGAACTGTGTCAGCTCGGCTCAAGAGGAAACTCACCGAGTTGGAGGAGCTGTGGGAATTCGATTTGAATTGGCTTCATAACGTAATATGTTTGCAGCGCAGTGTCTTTGCTTTCAGATGTCTTACTCATTCACCTTTTAATGCGATGATGTCTGCCATCCGGCGGCAGGGACCTGCAGGTTCTTTGAGGAATGCGCTGAAAGCTGAGGCTTCAGAAGCTTCAGTTACTGCAAAGCATCACAAGAGCATGAGTCAAGACGTTTTTGAATCCCATTTTCCATTTTTGGAAACACCGCCCATTGCGCACGCGATGTCCACTGTCCTTGATTCTAGCGAGCTGACTCCATCACCAGTCGGGATGCAGACGGCCAGCTGGCACACGTTTAGTCTTGTATGTATAAAAATATATGTCTATTTCCTCGTGTCAAACACCAGTCCATTTGATGTTGAGTTTGAAACGCGCTGTATTTGCTTGTAAAACCATGCGCTCCGCATTCATAAAACTCAGGCCAAAGGTATGAAGAACCTCAAGGACCAGGACCTTGAGCTTCAGAATGCTGGTTCCGAGAGCCTAGAGAAACATCCGCCTACCATCAAAAAAACGGAAACGGTGAAAAACAAAAAGAAAGTGAAGAAGAGCAAGAAGGCAAGCAAGGCCGGTCAGGCAGTGAGTTCTGCGGCTGGTGACAGCTTCAAGGGATACAACCTTGTTGAATTGAACATTCCTTCTGATGCCTATCCCCAAAAGACCAAGCTCAACCTGGGTGCTCATGGCTACACTGTGACAGCGTCACTCAACGGTGCAGCACTTTGCTTGCAACTCTGATTTGTGTTTTGCTTGGTTTTGCAAGAGCCCTTATAGCTCCTCCTCCATTTTCTGCATAGCTTCCGACGCCCGTCTTCCTAGGCAATCGAATGCTTGCTGCGGAACAAGGCTTTTTTTGTCAAGCGAGTGGGGTCGGGAAATTATCGTGAAGGACCGTTTTCCACCGGCCAAATCTCGTGGAGTAAGTTTGTTTGCTCTGCAAGTGCCAGAGCGCTGGGGTACCAAACACTTCTGAAATATGAAGTGCTCTACACGACAAAGTCTCTCCAGTCCTCAGATAGGGCAGCCTTGCTAACATAGTATTTTAAAGCTTCTTTGAACAAACAAATCAGGATGA